CATATAAACATTTATTGAGTCTGCATCACTGATATCCTTCGTGCTGGAGCTTTGAGCTTAACTCACAGTAGCCGAGTGAGAACTGCTGATGTGTTTGTTATTAAAGGTTATTCTAACCGTGCGTGTGTTTCAGGGTGTTTTAACCGAGTGTCTTGTATGGTGTTTGGTAACTCTTAACATCATCTCAAGGGACACCTTATTACTGTCCATATATTATTACATTAGTATATTTTCAAACATTAAACGAAACGCTAAATTCGTGTAGGCCAGGGAGAGAGATGGGTATTAACAAAGGGGATATAAATAATGTCTTGATGATATTTCTCCAAGAGAGAACCCTCAATAATGGATTCAAATTAGATAAGTTTAGATTTAGATTATTATTATAATCAAGGGGAAGCGCTAAACCCGTAGGATTATACAGTGCCTGGGGGGGGGGGGATGTGGAAGGCATTCAGGCTTAATTCGGGGAACTGGAGCACAGATCCAATTCCCTAAATCAAGAGCCCCTCACCAACATCAAGGAACCTTCCCTGAGGGGTTTAGATTTAGAAAGGATATAGGAAAGTAATGGTTTGGAAATAGGGTGGTTGATGAGCTCTTAACTGGTAAATAAAGTAAGGAACCTTAACCTACCCTTTTAAAAACCTGTGTAAAAGAAAACAGAGCATTGATCAGGATGTGCGCATATACCGTATGTGACACTGTTAGGGCATTGGTCCTATAATTCTTCATTTATAGCCAACAAATGCAAGAGCTCTCGCAGATCGACGTGCAACGGATTTGTTGATGACTTTTAATATGTCAACACTGTTACAGAAACTGCAACAGCCCAAGTCAAGAAGTTGCAACACTAGCGTTATAGCAAATTAATTTACTAAAACTGCAAAGAAAGTGTTCCTCGAAAAAAATTCCAATAAGTAATTTGTAAGTTTATTATAAGGCTGGCGGAAATGCTCTACTTAACCAGGGACTTTCCAGAAAGTATGTCAGAAATATAAGTTTTTTTCCGAAGCAATTGTAAGCCATACACAAATAACCCGCACATGGGAAAGAGAAGCTTAACACATTTCGGGCCAACCTGGACCATTTACACTTCACACTGGAAACAATTCTTTGAGGAAATGAAGTTTATCATCTAATGAAGTGGCAGTAACCACCCAGCACCGTGCAATGTTACCACAAGCTACCTGATGCTGCTCTTACCTTGTCAAACTATCAGGCTGAAATTTTATATATATATATATATATATATATATATAATATATATATATATATATATATATATATATATATATATATATATATATAAATATATATATATACATGGGATCACCATCTACCCTTGGAAGAATGACAAGCTCTTAGCATGGGACTATTCCTGTGTGTCCACACTGGCTGACTCCTATATCCATCACAGTGTGGGGCGACAGCGAGGAGCTGCCGATCACAGGGAGGAGTACAAGATTAGCAAGTACAGGAACGTAACCTAACAGTATCAATTTGTCCCAGTGGGATCAGAAACCTTGGGATCATGGGGAAAAAATGCCACACATCTCCTTAAAAAGAACTGGGTTAAAGATTCATCGACACCACCAGGGACCCAAGAGCAGCCACTCTCATGTTCCAGCGCCTCAGCATGGCCATCTAGAGGGGAAATGCTTGCTGCATACTGGGCTCGCGTCCGGCTTCGAAGGAGCTGGAGGAGATTCATAACCTTTGATATATTGTACTCACCTAATTGTACTTACCTGATTGTGGTTGCAGGGGTCGAGACTCAGCTCCTGGCCCCGCCTCTTCACTGATCGCTACTAGGTCCTCTCTCTGCTTCCTGAGCTTTGTCATACCTCGTCTTAAATCTATGTATGGTTCCTACCTCCACTACATCACTTGCTAGGCTTTTCCACTTCCTGATGATTCTGTGACTGAAGAAATGCTTCCTAACATCCCTTTGACTCGTCTGAGTCTTCAGGTTCCAATTGTGTCCCCTTGTTTCTGTGTTCCCTCTCTGGAACATCCTGTCTCCGTCCACCTTGTTTATTCCACGCATTATTTTGTATGCTGTTATCATGTCTCCCCTGACCCTCCTGTTCCCCAGTGTCGTCAGTCCGATTTCCCTCAACCTTTCTTCATAGGACATTCCCCTGAGCTCCGGAACTAGCCTTGTTGCAAACATTTGTACTTTCTCTAATTTCTTGACGTGCTTGACCAGGGGTAGGTTCTAAACTGGTGCTGCATACTCCAGTATGGGCCTGACGTACACAGTGTACTAAAGTATCGGAACGATATTCTCAGGTTTGCCAGGCGCCCATTTGCTGCAGCCGTTATCTGGTTGATGTGTGCCTCGGGAGACGTGCTCGGTGTTATGGTCACCTCAAGATCTTTCTCCTTGAGTGAGGTTTGCAGCCTTTGTCCTTCTAGCCTATACTCTGTCTGCGGTCTTCTTTGCCCTTTTTCCCTCTTCATGACTTTGCATTTGGCAGGGTTGAAATCGAGAAGCCAATTGCTGGACCACGTGTCCGGCCTATCCAGGTCTCTTTGTAGTCCTGCCTCATCCTCATCCGATTTAATCCTTCTCATTACATAAGAACATAAGAACATAAGAAATAGGAACACTGCAGGAGGCCTGCTGGCCCATACTAGGCAGGTCCTTTACAATTCATCCCACTAACAAAACATTTGCCCAACCCAATTTTCAATGCCACCCAAGAAATAAGCTCTGATGTGAAAGTCCCACTCAAATCCAACCCCTCCCACTCATGTACTTATCCAACCTAGATTTGAAACTACCCAAAGTCCCAGCCTCAATAACCCAACTAGGTAGACTTCACATCATCTGAGAACAGGGACACTTCAGAGTCTATCCCTTCCACCATGTCATTCACATATATGAAAAATAGCACTGGTCCTAGGACTGGCCCTTGTGGTACCCCGCTCGTCACATGAGCCCACTGTGATACCTCGTCACGTAACATGACCCGTTGTTGCCTCCCTGTCAGGTATTCTCTGATCCATTGCAGTGCCCTTCCTGTTATACGTGCCTGATCCTCCAGCTTCTGTACTAATCTCTTGTGAGGAACTGTGTCGAAGGCCTTCCTGCAGTCCAGGAAAATGCAATCAACCCACCTCTCTCACTCGTGTCTTACTTCTGTTACCTTGTCATAAAACTCCAGAAGGTTTGTGACACAGGATTTGCCTTCCATGAATCCATGCTGGTTGTTGTTAATAATCTTGTTCCGTTCCAGGTGCTCCACCACTCTCCTCCTGATAATCTTCTTCACGACTTTGCATAATATACACGTCAGTGACACTGGTCTGTAGTTTAGTGCCGCGTTTCTGTCTGCTTTCTTAAAAATAGGGACTACATTTGCCGTCTTCCATACCTCAGGTAGTTGTCCAGTACCAATGTGTTCATGTTTGTGTTTCTATCAGTGTATTCTGTATATTAATAAAGTTAGCATGTAATATAAAATATAGAGTGTGGTAGGAGAAGAAAATATTCAAACAGCTCCCGGGAGAACCTTGACTTTTCCCTGTGGTACGTTTATTGTCTTCTCTGAGGATGAGGGTCCCCAGTAAAGTTCTAGAGATGGTCACTCCCTATAATATATATATATATATATATATATATATATATATATATATATATATATATATATATATATATATATATATATATATATATATATATATTTGCGGCAGGGCGACAGCTGATCGATTCGGACTTCATGGTCTCGTGTGTCACACAGCAGAAGGGAAGTATGCCAGACATGAGGAGGTCAATGACATCATAAAGAGAAGCCTCGCCACAGCCCGTTGCCCAGCTCAACGGGAACCCCAAGTACAGAGGTCTGATGGAAGTCAAAAGCGTCCTGATGGAGCCACTATGCTACCTTGGAAGGATGGAAAGCAGATTGCCTGGGACTACACCTTTACTGCCACATTGGCAGACACCTACTTGCCATACTCCGTAATGGAAGGGGGTGGAGCTGCCAGCCACAGGGAGACCCAGAAGATCCGAAAATATGAAGACCTTACCCCTTGCTATAACTTCATTCAAATAGGGTCGGAGACCCTTGGAGCATGGGGCAAGTGTGCTCTAAAGTTCCTCAAAGAGCTGGGTGAAAAGCTCATCATAGAAACCAAGGACCACAGGGCGACCAGCTTCCTCTTTCAGAGACTCAGTGTTGTGATCCAGAGAGGAAATGCCTGCAGCATTCTGGGCACGCGGCCCACCGCAGAGGAGCTGGACGAAGTATTCGAGATGTAGCTCTGAGTTACCTATGTTGTTATATTTCTGTTGTATTTTTGTGAATATATATATATATATATATATATATATTATATATATATATATATATATATATATATATAAAATATATATATATATTATATATATATATGTATATATATATATATATTTTATATATATATAATATATATATATATATAGATAGATAGATAGATAGATAGATAGATAGATAGATATATAAAGGAAAATGCCACTACTTAACAATGAAACTTTTATCATAAACATTGTATTTAATTATCTATAACATAAAATATTTTAAAATAAATTTTGGAGATATTCTTAGGAATGTGCATAACACTTGGTGATGAAACATTACTGAAGAATGTAGTGTCGTGGCTCTAGGATCTGAACACACGGGTTGTCAGCGGACACCGTGGAAATACGAAGCTGGAAGAAATCAGTGCGTTGTTAGTTAGTTTAATATCGTGTACCCCATACCCATCCAGTGGGTTGTAGTCAAAAAAGGTTACAGAAGTACATAATGGGTCCTGGGACTCGGCCCCAAAGTTTTGATTGCTGGACGAGTTACAAAGATAATGGACCATTCGCACCTCCACACCTGTTCAGCCTTGGTGTGTTGAAACGCACAAAGAGCGAAGAGCTGGACAACTGTACCACACATGTTATGAAACTCTAGACAAAGACTTAATACACAATCAGTACGAGCAGTTATAGACTATATGACGTGATGCCCATGTTATCTGTTAGGTCAAATGACCAAATGCTCGATTCTAAGGGTCAGTATATAAATAAGACCCACATCAGGAGTTTTCCTGCGTCTCCTGACGCACAATAAGCCCCATCCGCCGCCTCCGGCCTCCCATTCATCTTTTTCCTGGATATCTGACACTTCTTTTAATCCGAGTTTGTATTTATAGGTCTGATCTGCGCCGAGGGTGACCTATGGAGAGAACACCGGAAATTCGTGTTGGGTTTCATGAGAGATCATGGGATGAGGACTACTGCTACCAGGGATATTATGGAACCCAAAATTCACGCCGTGGCTGACCTTCTAACGCAGGTAAGTTAAAGTAGAAAGCAAAGGAAACCTAAATACACTTAATGGCCCATCTTCCGACGAAGGTAAGGTAACGTAGAAGTCATGGAAAACTTAAATACACTTTGTGTCACTCCTCCACTCCCAGCACGTAGGTAGGTACCATCACTCCAACGCACTCCTCCACTCCCAATACGCAGGTAAGTACCATCACTCCAACGCACTCCTCCACTCCCAGCACGCAGGTAAGTATCATCACTCCAACGCACTCCTCCACTCCCAGTACACAGGTAAGTACCATTACTCCAACGCACTCCTCCACTCCCAGTACGCAGGTAATTACCATCACTCCAACGCACTTCTCCACTCGCAGCACGTAGGTAAGTACCGTCACTCAAACGCACTTCTCCACTTCCAGCACGTAGGTAAGTACCATCACTCCAATGCACTCCTCCACTTCCAGCACGTAGGTAAGTACCATCTCTCCAACGCACTCCTCCACCCCCAGCACGTAGGTAAGTACCATCACTCCAACACACTCCTCCACTTCCAGCACGTAGGTAAGTACCATCACTCCAACACACTCCTCCACTTCCAGCACGTAGGTAAGTACCGTCACTTTAAACGCACTCCTCCACTTCCAGCACGTAGGTAAGTACCATCACTCCAACACACTCCTCCACTTCCAGCACGTAGGTAAGTACCATCACTCAAACGCACTCCTCCACTTCCAGCACGTAGGTAAGTACCATCACTCCAACACACTCCTCCACTTCCAGCACGTAGGTAAGTACCATCACTCCAACACACTCCTCCACTTCCTCACAGTAGGTAAGTACCATCACTCCAATGCACTCCTCCACTTCCAGCACGTAGGTAAGTACCATCACTCCAACACACTCCTCCACTTCCAGCACGTAGGTAAGTACCATCACTCCAACACACTCCTCCACTTCCAGCACGTAGGTAAGTACCATCACTCCAACGCACTCCTCCACTCCCAAGACGCAGGTAAGTACCATCACTCCAATGCACTCCTCCACTCCCAGCACGTAGGTAAGTACCATCACTCCAATGCACTCCTCCACTCCCAGCACGTAGGTAAGTACCATCACTCCAACGCACTCCTCCACTTCCAGCACGTAGGTAAGTACCAACACTCCAACGCCCTCCTCCACTTCCAGCACGTAGGTAAGTACCAACACTCCAACGCCCTCCTCCACTCCCAGCACGTAGGTAAGTACCATCACTCCAACGCACTCCTCCACTTCCAGCACGTAGGTAAGTACCATCACTTCAATGCACTCCTCCACGCCCAGCACGTAGGTAAGTACCATCACTCCAACTCACTACTCCACTCCCAGCACGTAGATTACCATCACTCCAACGCACTCCTCCACTTCCAGCACGTAGGTAAGTACCATCACTTCAATGCACTCCTCCACTTCCAGCACGTAGGTAATTACCATCACTCCAACGCACTCCTCCACTTCCAGCACGTAGGTAATTACCATCACTCCAACGCACTCCTCCACTTCCAGCACGTAGGTAATTACCATCCCCTCCAACGCACTCCTCCACTCCCAGCACGTAGGTAATTACCATCACTCCAACGCACTCCTCCACTTCCAGCACGTAGGTAATTACCATCACTCCAACGCACTCCTCCACTCCCAGCACGTAGGTAATTACCATCACTCCAACGCACTCCTCCACTTCCAGCACGTAGGTAATTACCATCACTCCAACACACTCCTCCAATTCCAGCACGTAGGTAAGTACCATCACTCCAACGCACTCCTCCACTCCCAGCACGTAGGTAATTACCATCACTCCAACGCACTCCTCCACTTCCAGCACGTAGGTAATTACCATCACTCCAACACACTCCTCCACTTCCAGCACGTAGGTAAGTAACATCACTCCTACGCACTCCTCCACTCCCCGGTGGCACGTAAGCACCTAAGTATCAGTGTTCACACTCCGCTCTCTGACACTGTTATAAAGGTGAGACAGCAATGAATTAATACTCGGCAGCCTGTTAGTACCGTTTAGCACAGTCTACCAGTTATTGGTGTCCTTCTAGTTCTGTTTTATTATATACTACCGCTATTGGTGATCCGTTACCACCATTTTAGTATAGTCTTCCCGTTACTGGTGTCTCTTTTATTCTAATAGTGTACCCGTTTAATTGTTCTGTTACTGTTTTAGTGTAGTTTAGCCGTTATAATTGTGCTGAGATATCTCTCAGCGTGTGTGTGTGTGTTTTGTGTGTATATATATATATTTTATATATATATATATAATATATATATATAAAATATATATATATATATATATATATATATATATATATATATATATATATTTTATATAAATAATGATTAGTGGTCCTATTATTGTTCCCTGTTGTACCTCACTCGTCACTTTCGTATATGCGCTATTGTTACTCTTAATTCATATATAAAGAGAAATATACTTACCAAAATATATTCCAAGTGATAAGTATTAACCTATACGTAGCCCTCAGTTTTCCATAATAAATTATCTCGTAGTGTCTACATCAACTTAAGCAGTCTGTGAGCGTTCAAAAAAAAAAAAAAAAAAACAGTGAATGCTCTGGAAATTTTTTCCTAGCCTTTGGCCTTGTTAAACCTGGTAAAAAAAAATAACCTGCGTTGTAAACTCCTTGAAAATGATTACGTTGCAAAGTTACCCGGCTTGACACCCTGCCACGGGTCGGGAGCAACAGCCTGGCTGGTCAGAGACCGCGCCTCATGTACCGGACCGAAGATGTGGGGGCCTCCTCCTCCTCCTCCTCCTCCTCCTCCTCCACCCCCCTCTCCAGGTGGTGAATGACCCACATGGGTTTACCTCCTCGTGAAGTACAATGTTATGCCGTGGGCAGGTGATGGTAGAGTTGGTCGTAACTAAGACGACGCTCGGAACATGATGAACGACCCAGGCAACGATGACACATTTTTTTCCTCTGGACGTTTCTCGGTGAAGGGCTCTTCCTCCAAGGAATTTGGAGCTATTTCTCCCTCTAATGGAACCAGATTACCTTTCATTTCCCAGGCGCTGTATGACCCCCTTAGAGTTGAGCGCTTCTTAATAATAATAATAAAAATTAATAATAATAATAATAATAATAATAATAATAATAATAATAATAATAATAATAATTATTATAATTTAATTAACTATTGTTATAAGAAATTCTTGTGTTCTTCATAAGTTCTCAAATTATGTATCCATGTTATTTTGTTATGTTCTTGAGATCTTGTGTTCCTACGTTCATCAGCTCTCTTATGGTCTTGTGAAGTAATTATTATGATTCCTTAATGTTCTTCATCTCTTATGTTCTTCTGAAGTTATAACGTTATGTTCCTAAGATCTTCATATCTTCAAGTTATGTTCTTACGTTCTTAAACGCTTATGCTCTTCAGGTTTTCATGAATTAACCAGTGACGTATACCTTTCTTTAATGAATTAACCCGGGACCAACACCTTCCCCAGGAGCTGGGTGAGAGCGGGGGGTCACCAGTGGACATTTCCAGCAGGTTGCTCCATCACGTGGGGAACACCATGAACCACCTCATCTTCGGCGTCACCTACCAGGAGAACGACCCGAAGTGGCGCTGGCTGCGTCACCTGCTGGAGGAGGGCACTAAGATGGTCGGCGTGGCGGGGCCCCTAAACTTTCTGCCCTGGCTTAGGTGAGTAACTAGCCCCCCCCCCTTCCCTGAACTTCATGCCCCTGTCTCAGGAGAGTGGCTAGGTCCCTGGTTCAGGGTGTGGCTGGGCCCGTGTGAGTGGCCTTGACGAGATGGTTGAGTAACCTTGGCATAAAAACAGGAACACTGAAGTAGGCCTGCTGGCCCGTGCTAAGTAGGTGCTGCTAACACCTATTCATTCTCATCTACGTATTTCTCTCAGCCATTTTCTTCTAAGTTACCAGAAACCAAAAATAGCATCAGCGGTGTTACATGGCAGTGTTTGGCACTTATCTATAACTCTATAACTAAACAGTGCCTTGTGATTCGAAGCAAGGTTCGTGCCAAGGTGTTAGAGATAATAAAGCTGCCTTTATTCTGTGTTTTTGGTTCCTGGATAACCAGGCTGGCATCCTTCCATCTTTAAAGTACTTAGTAGTGTTTCTCTGCTGCACGCTGCTGCACGCTGCTGCGCACCGCTGCATGCTGCTGCACGCAGGTGTTGTTCAGGTTGTCACGTCTGGCGTGTGCTTTTCCATGCTCACGGTGATGCATGTTTCTCAAAATTCCCAGCAGGGCAAGGCAGACACACCCCCTCAAGGAAGGTTCCTTGATGTTGGTGAGGGGCTCTTGATTTAGGGAATTGGATCTGTGCTCCAGTTCCCCAAATTAAGCCTGAATGCCTTCCACATCCCTCCCCCCAGGCGCTGTATAATCCTCCGGGTTTAGCGCTTCCCCCTTGATTATAATAATAATAAGGCAGACACACCTGCCTGGACTGTTTAACGCACACAGGAGGGTCGCGCTTTACTGCGCTTCGCTTCTGTCACTCGCTAATGCAGCGGTTTTCAATTATCTCCATTCTTCATTCATTAAGTATATTCACCATTCACTTTAAGCAAAGGAGGAAAATATTTTAAAGTTAGTAATGTGTGTACGGTACATGCATTTTTTAGGCCTAGCTCTATTGCTCACTTAATATATGATAGTGTAAACATATTATCAGGCTTTTATATGCATTTGAAAGTGAAAAACAGCCTATGCCTCACTTTACAACGATTTCCGCTTTACAGCAGTAGCCCGGAACCTAACCTGCCGTATAAGCGGGGCTCTCCAATACATTGTTTCCCATCAGTCAGCCATACTTCTGTCCACGAGAAAATTCCTTCTCCAATACCATGGGCTTTCACTTTCTTCAAGTTTTATTGAAATCCTACAATCATCATCATACACTATATCCTTGTCTACCGCCTAAAATACTGTTTTTTATTTTTATTTTGAGAGAATAGTATTTGTTAGGCAAGAACGTTTGATTATGAATCAGCCTTAAGACTCACTGATCACATTACGTTCTTGAAGGTGACTTAATAGTTTGCTCAGTATGGAGGGCAGGCTAATTGGGCGGCAGTTCGAAGGCAGATTGCCCGTTTTGTATCAACGAGTGTCGTCAGTCGTTCTCCATATCTCAGATATAGGTTCGCAGTAACAGACGTTCCCTGAGAAAAAGTGGTTGGGTCCCTGGGCCTTACTGTGCTTCAAGAGTCTTAGCAGAAAAGCCTGGAAGTGCCAGGTACAGTGTAGCCTTGGCGTGTCAGGTGAGTGAAGCCTCAGGTGAACAAGCTTCGGGTGAGTGAAGCCTCAGGTGGACAAGCTTCAGGTGAGTGAAGCCTCAGGTGAACAAGCTTCAGGTGAGTGAATCCTCAGGTGAACAAGCTTCAGGTGTCAGGTGAGCAAGTTGGCATGTCAGCCTTGAGGTGGCTGGGCTGAGTAATCTTGTCGTGGCTAAGGTGAGTGACCTTGGAGGGCGAGGCAGCAGGTAGTAGGGAGGTGAGGCAGCAGGAGGCAGGGGAGGTGAGGCAGGAGGCAGGGGTCAATGCTTCACCAGCAGGAGGCTCACCATGAAACCTTAATACTTGTTCTTACTCAAGGTAATCACCAAGTGTTCACATAACTGTAACTATGATATATCACAGCTAAGAATATTAAAGTAATAATAATAATAATAATAATAATAATAATAATAATAATAATATAAAATTAATAATAATTATTTTATTATTATTATTAGTAGTAGCATTAGTACTAGTAACACTAATGCTATTATGAATAATGTTAGTTCTAGTGGTAGTTGTAGTGGCAGTTCTAGTTTAAAGAAGGTAAATGGGAAACCTGTTATATTTTCCGAATCATCATGAGAGCATCACCTTCAGAGTGATCACATTGCATCACTGACGAAGTATTGTTCCGTTCTGACTCATGAAATGGAAACAGCGTGATTGCAAACAAATCAGCACGGGTAGGGATCGAACCCATGACAGGCGAGTCCTAGAACTCACCCGTCCTGGGTTGATCCTCACCAGTTCTGATTTATTGCTCTTGTTACACGTACATTTTATCCTCTCGGTGTTCCTGTGTTTTTGTAATCTTCAGATCACCCATTGGTACAGCAGCTAACTTTCAGCTGTTGACTGCCAGCAACTGACAGTTAAAAACTAACTGAAAAACAGGTAAATGTGAGCTTTGTAAATAATTTATTACACCCAGGAGTACAAGGTCATTCATCTCCAGTCAAGGTTTCTAACCCGGATACCAGAGATGTTTGGGTGATGCTGTGTTAGGCCTCGCTCCCACTCTCATCTTCCGGATCTCTGAGATGATTGGGTGATGCTGTGTTAGGCCTCGCTCCCACTCTCATCTTCCGGATCTCTGAGATGATTGGGTGATGCTGTGTTAGGCCTCGCTCCCACTCTCATCTTCCGGATCTCTGAGATGATTGGGTGATGCTGTGTTAGGCCTCGCTCCCACTCTCATCTTCCGGATCTCTGAGATGATTGGGTGATGCTGTGCTAGACCTCCCTCTCTCACTCATCCTTTTTCCTTGAAGATACATCTCCACTCTTAGAGTGGAGAAGCACTTGTTAAGCTTGGCAGTGGTTGTCGTTGGTTTCCTTTTAAGTGGGGTTACAGGTATTTTAATTTTTATAGCTATTATCTTTGTTACTATTATTTGTTTAGAATTGTAGTAATAGTGATATTCTTTGTTTGATGTGAAGTATTAGGTCAATGCTCATCCATGCCTGTTATGTTTCCTTGTTACCACTGCGCATCTCTGCCTACAGTGCGTCTTCCTTCCTTAAATGTACTCTCTTGACTTATTAATCATGCATTAGTTTATATATATATATATATATATATATATATATATATATATATATATATATATATATATATATATATATATATTTATTAACACATCAGCCGTCTTCCACCAAGGTAGGGTGGCAACATTGACATCCCTCCTTCAGAGTGCAGACACTGTACTTCCCATCTCCAGGACTCAAGTCCGGCCTGCTGGTTTCCCTGAATCCCTTCATAAATGTTACCATGTTCACACTCCAACAGCACGTCAAGTCCTAAACACTATTTGTCTCCATTCGCTCCTATCTAACAGGCTCATACATGCTTGTTGGAAGTCCAAGCCCCTCGCACACAAAACCTTCTTTACCCCCTCCCTCCAACGTTTCCTAGGCCGACCCCTACCCCGCCTCCCCTCCACTACAGATTTATACACTCTCGAAGTCATTGTATTTTGTTCGACCCTCTCTACATGTCCGAACCACCTCAACAACCCCTCTGCATAATAGTTTTGGTAATCCCGCACCTCCTCCTAATTTCCAAACTACGAATTCTCTTCATTATACTCACACCACACATTGCCCTTAGACATGACATTTCCACTGCCTCCAGCCTTCTCCTCGCTGCAACATTCATCACCCATGCTTCACACCCATATAAGAGCGTTGGTATAACTATGCTCTCATACATTCCCCTCTTTTCTTCCATGGACAAAGTTCTTTGTCTCCACAGACTCCTCAGTGCACCACTCACCTTTTTCCCCTCATCAGTTCTATGATTCACTTTATCTTTCATTGACCCATCTGCTAACACGTCCACTCCTAAATATCTGAATACATTCACATCCTCCATACTCTCTCACTCCAATCTGATATCCAATCTTTCGTCATCTATTTTTTTTGTTATCCTCATCACCTTACTCTTTCCTATATTCACTTATAATTTTCTTGTTTTATATACCATACCAAACTCATCCACCAACCTCCGCAACTTCTCTTCAGACTCTCCCAAAAGCACAGTGTCATCAGCAAAGAGCAACCGTGACAACCCCCACTTTGTGTTAGATTCTTTATCTTTTAACCCCACATCTCTCTCTCTCTCTCTCTCTCTCTCTCTCTCTCTCTCTCCTCTCTCTATATATATATATATATATATATATATATAATATATATATATATATATATTATATATATAATTATATATATATATATATATATATATTTATATACATATTCTGTTAAGTTCACAGGACAGCATGAGTGAGGATAGCTGGATGAGAGAGGAGCATGGGCTATGAGGCCTGTTACAGTGCTCTAATGTTGTTACCGGACTCCATGTGGTCTGGACATGAGGGATCTTAGCCACTATTACTGTCCTTACTCTTTGCCCACGCAGGTTCCTGCCGAAGTACCGTCGCGTGATCAGTTTCATCACGGAGAACCAGAGCAAGACCCACCAGGAGTACCAGGACATTATTGATCAACACGAGAAAACCACCTTCTCTAACAGCCTTCTTGACGCTCAGCAAGTTGTTACGACGGATAGCGTCGTCTCTATGACACTGAGACGAAACCGAGAAGACTCTACCTCAGGTAGAACAAACCAAGAGAACTCGCCTCCAGCTGGAGTAGACGAGGGCAGCTCAGAGTCGACGTCTTCACAGAAGGTTCCTCTGCACATAGTTGACGCATACGTCAAGGTGAGGGCGTACGCCTCAGTGTTCAACCTGGGGCATTCTAATGGTCACTTCGTTTACTTTAGTATTATGGTCCATGGTAAGTTATACATATTTAACGTGGAGTGTTCGGTGGCAGAGATTGCAGTGCACGAGACATTTCCAGTGGTTATTGAAGATAATAGTAACACAAAAATATGTGCAATCAGAATTAACAGAATTTTATATATATATATATATATATATATATATATATATATATATATATATATATATATATATATATATATATATATATATATATATATATATAATTTCCATTACTTATCATAAACTTTTTGTGTTAGGAGCGGCAGACTCGGGGTCACAACACCGGGTCCTTCACCTACGAACAGTTGCACCACGTGGCCGCTGATCTGTTCGGTGCTGGCACAGAGACTACCTTAACCACCCTAAAGTGGCACCTGCTCAACATGGCGCTCTTCCCCGAGGCTCAGGTTGGTCACTCAACATGGTCTTTCACAGCTGCTAATCCGCCAATAAAAATTTTAAATAGTCAGTATCTCCCTTGTCCACACACACACACACACACACACACACACACACACACACACACACACACACACACACACACACACACACATACAGTGTCTAAAAAGATGTCGAGTATACACATCTCATGCAAAAAAGAAAATATTTGTAAATAGAAGATTTGTGAAATATAAGAAAACATTTATTGTTTACTGGTTGCCAGAGCACAACATGTCATTCATGTAATGCTGTACTTGAGCAATATTTAAATAAATTTGTTGAATTTATTTATTTGTGCAAAAACAGAAGTTATGCGGCAAGTGTTGCAAGTATATGGTACTGGACTCAGGTTACAAAAAAAAATCGGAAAGCTAAGAGACTCAGGTTTGTTTTAAAGAGGTGTGAAAGAAACTTTTTTTCCAGTAAAAGTAGGCTTAGGCAGAGATGTGTGACGTCACTATTTATTGTGTATATGAAAGGCAAGTGTATAATAAGAAAATGCTTGAGCGTTGAGTTGATGTGGGAGCTGCTCATTTGCTGACGACAGTGATTTTATGAGATTTGGATGAGAAGTAACTGAGGGTGTCTGTCGATCCTTAGGTACGTTCTCTTTCATCATACATTCTTTTTGATTATAATAGTAATAATAATTCCATCATACACACAATAAACAAATGCATTACGAATTCCAGAACTTTATTATAATCTACTTTTAACGTTATGATCTTAATTCCCTCTGCTGTTTATCTACTTACTGTCTGACCTGTTTCCAGCAAAATCACTTCCAGTTCTTCCTTAACAAATCCTTGCATACTTTCTTATTATGCAGAGGGAGGAACTAGATTCATCTGAAGAATGGTGACACAACAATGCAATCGAGAAGAGATACGCTTTTTTTTGTCTGATCATTGCAAGGTTAGAGTCCCAAAACTAGATTATAGGCTTCAGCGACATCAGTTGCTTTGGATTCAGCCGTCGTATTGCTTAAAAAAAATCGTAGTGAAAACACTGTGTTGGTTTACCTGGAGAGAGTTTACCTGGAGAGAGTTCCGGGGGTCAACGCCCCCGCGGCCCGGTCTGTGACCAGTCCTTGTATATCTTCTTGCTCGTCTTTCAAAATTCACTCTCCTCCTGATGCATACATTTCTTTGCAGTTTTGAAGTACGATGATTAAAAAATATATGACCCTAAGAAACATAGCATTCATTCAGCCTGTTCATCATACCTTTTTTTCTTTTTTTTTTTTCTTTAGTTCGAGTTTTCTTATGCACAAGATCTACTGGGCAGACAGTTCATGTGGATTTATTAAAAACATCATTAAGATATTTGTCTTGTGATGCACCGAAGCGGAAATAACATATGTATGAAGCAAGCACACGAGACCATTGATGGGTACAAACTGGGAGTTGTGTGTGTGGCCTACAAGACTATCATTAGCACAGCGGAGAAGAGCCTCCTTCAGTGCGTGCACAAGGTCGGTGATAACCACTCAGTAACATGATGATCAGAGGAGAGCTGTGTGTTGACATGGTCGAGTGTAACGTTTCAGGGAACTCGAGAGAAGTATTACAGCAGAAAAATAGGGTATAGTGTATTAGTGGTGGTGGTGGTGGTGGTGGGTGGTGGTGGTGGTGGTGGATATATTGTTGGTAGTGATAGTTAAAATGGTGGTGGCATTGTTATTTGTGGTGATAACGGCTGTTGTGTGGTCGTTGGTACTGATGATAGGGTAAGTGTTACTGATATTGTTAAAGGTTGCGATGTTAGTGATGATAGTGATAATGTTGTTGTAGCTGGTGATGGTGGTGCAGTAACTGGTAGTGCTGGTGTTGGTGTCGTGGCCGTAAGTGGTGACTGAGGTGTTTCCGTGGTTACTGTCGACGGAGGCAGTGATAGCCTTGGTATTGCTGTCAGTGTTGACAGTGTTGTTGTAGTTGTTGTTAGCTGAGGTGTTAGTGTTGTTAGGTGTGGTGTTGGTGTTGTTAGTTGTGGTGTTGGTGTTCTCAGTCGTGGTGTTGGTGTTACTTGTGGTGTGGGTGCTGTAAGTTGTAGCGTTGAAGTTGTAAGTCATGGTGCTGGTGTTGTTAGTCGAGGTGTTGGTGCTGTTAGCGGTGTGAGAGTGTTGTTGTTCTTTCTGTTGATAGTTGTGTTGTTTATGGTGTTGCTGATGGTGATGAGAATTGTTATTCTTGCTGTTGACGATGATGGTGGTGTGAGATCACATTTCGGTTGCGACCTTGGTGTGTTGACGAACATGTCGAGGTGAGAGAGAGCCTTCTGTGTGTGTATATAAATACATATATATATATATATATATATATATATATATATATTATATATATATATATATATATATATATATATATATATATATATATATATATATATATATATATATATATATATCCAAGATTAAACCGACTTCAACACCGTGTACAAATGAACTATGTCGGTAAGCACAAATGTTGGTCTCACTCTTATTTATAGATTCCCGAACCCCCCAGAGGCTTCATGGCCACAACACCACATGAATTACACGTCACTCCTATCCTCCAGACGGAGCCCCTGTCCAGCAATCATCCAGTAGCCGTCCTATTGCTGTCGCCTGGTTGTTTAACAGTCTGTCGCGTACACTACTAAGCACAATATTTTTACTCTAAAAGTTTTTGATGTTGCTGGGGGTGTTGGCCATCTTATAAGATACAGCTGGAATTATCACAGACCTGTGTCTAGGAACACCTGTGACGCAGTTGTTACTTCACTTTGTGACGCAGCTGTTACTACACTCTGTGACGCAGTTGTTGTTACTACACTTTGTGACGCAACTGTTACTACACTGTGACGCAGTTACTACACTCTGTGACGCAGTTTTTACTATACTTTCTGACGCAGCTGTTACTACACTCTGTGACGCACTGTTGCTAAACTTTAAAGCAGTTGTTACTACACTCAGTGAAGCAACGGTTACTACACCCTGTGACGGAGCTGTTACTACACTGTGACGCAGCTGTTGCTACACCGCGACGCAGCTGTTACGGTGAGGACCTCATGAAAGTGAGGTCGACAGGTTGTTTTTCATCTCTATTCTCCTTGCACACACACATACACACATACACATACACACATATACACATACACACATACACACATACACACACACACACATACACACATACACATACACACACACACACACACATACACACATACACACATACACACACACACATACACACATACACACACACATAACACACACACACACACACACACACACACACACACACACACACATACACACATACACACACACATACACACACACACACACACATACACACACACACACACACACACACACCTGGAAAGGAACAAGATTATAAATGAAAACCAGCATGGGTTCATGGAAGGCAAATCTTGTATCACAAACCTCCTGGAGTTTTATGACAAGGTAACAGATGTAAGACATGAGAGAGAGGGTTGGGTAGATTGCGTTTTCCTAGACTGCAGGAAGGCCTTTGACACAGTTCCCCACAAGAGATTAGTGCAGAAGCTGGAGGATCAGGCACACGTAAAAGGAAGGGCACTGCAATGGATAAGGGAATACCTGACAGGGAGGCAGCAACGAGTCATGGTACGTGAAGAGGTATCACAGTGGGCGCCTGTTACGAGCGGGGTCCCACAGGGGTCAGTTCTAGGACCAGTGCTATTTTTGATATATATGAACGACATGATGGAAGGAATAGACTCTGAAGTGTCCCTGTTCGCAGATGACGTGAAGTTGATGAGAAGAATTAAATCGGACGAGGATGAGGCAGGACTGCAAAGAGACCTGGAGAGGCTGGACATGTGGGCCAGTAACTGGCTTCTCGAATTCAATCCAGCCAAATGCAAAGTCATGAAGATTGGGGAGGGGCAAAGAAGACCGCAGACAGAGTATAGGCTAGGTGGACAAAGACTACAGACCTCACTCAGGGAGAAAGACCTTGGGGTGACCATAACACCGAGCACATCACCGGAGGCACACATCAACCAAATAACCGCTGCAGCATACGGGCGCCTGGCAAACCAGAGAATAGCGTTCCGATACCTTAATAAGGAATCGTTCAAGACACTGTACACTGTGTATGTTAGGCCCATACTGGAGTATGCAGCACCAGTCTGGAACCCACACCTGGTCAAGCACGTCAAGAAGTTAGAGAAAGTACAAAGGTTTGCAACAAGGCTAGTCCCAGAGCTCAAGGGAATGTCGTACGAGGAAAGGTTAAGGGAAATCGGACTGACGACACTGGAGGACAGAAGGGCCAGGGGAGACATGATAACGACATACAAGATACTGCGGGGAATAGACAAGGTGGACAGAGATAGGATGTTCCAGAGAGGGGACACAGGGACAAGGGGTCACAACTGGAAGCTGAAGACTCAGACGAGTCACAGGGACGTTAGGAAGTATTTCTTCAGTCATAGAGTTGTCAGCAAGTGGAATAGCCTAGCAAGTGAAGTAGTGGAGGCAGGAACGATACATAGTTTTAAGAAGAGGTATGACAAAGCTCAGGAAGCAGAGAGAGAGAGGATCCAGTAGCGATCAGTGAAGAGGCGGGGCCAGGAGCTGAGTCTCGACCCCTGCAACCACAATTAGGTGAGTACAATTAGGTGAGTACATACACACACACACATACACACACACACACACACACACACACACACACTTATAAACACACTCGAGGCCAGGAGCTCGGACTCGACCCCCGCAACCTCAACTAGGTGAGTACACACACATATACACACATACACACACACATAACACACACATACACACACACACACACACACACACACACACACACACACACACACACACACACACACACACACACACATAAACACACTCGGGGCCAGGAGCTCGGACTCGACCCCCGCAACCTCAACTAGGTGAGTACACACACATACACACACACATACACAC